TAGTTTTGATTTGACGGAAATCCACCCCGGCAATGCTAATAGTTCATTTGATATTCATTTAAAAGATGTTGGAGAAACGGTTTTTAAAGTAAATGAATTAATTAATTTTCCTTCGTCTCATTTTTTTTTACTAGCCAAACATTTTGATTTACATTTTTCTGATTTTTGCTTTAGTTATTCAAACATAACATTTATTTATCTCATTTATTAGTTTTCTTCTCCAGACATGCTAACAATCATGAGGAGCTAATTACACCTAACAATACTTATGACATTTCTTGTAGTATTCGAATTCAAAATGCTGCATTTTGTTGAGGTATGGGATTGGAAAAATCCGGATCTAAATGTATTCCTTCGACTTTCGGTGGGCGATGTAATCAGGCCATCAGTACATTCTGTGGCCCTTTCCGAAATCGTCTGTTTCAATTCACCACTGTCGGTATCGGGATGGAAGGAATTAGATGGAAAACGACATTTTCAATTCATCGATGAGAAAAATGGTATTGCTCTAGCAATGGATACGGGTAACACAGTAGTCGCTTCGTATAACTTCCAGAAACAAACTATTTTTTCTAAGGTATCAATTCTTAATAAATAATAAAATAATATGCTTCCCGTATACTGAAAAAAATTTTCTGTATTTGGTGTGCTAAGTAGAGTATTCCAATCAGAAAAGTCATGAATTTATATACTTGTTATTTTCCCTTAATCCCACAGTGCCATTATTGTAAGAATGAATCAAGTAGATATTTTGTATATTAATGACCTAATGATTTTATACGAAACTTGTTTTATATTTCAATATTTTTATTTTGATTTGAAGTATATTTTAATTATATTAATTTTAATGAAATTTTCTTTTCATTCAAGTTACACAAATAGGTGTCTATATTCCTTGCAGCGCAAAATTGTCCCTGCAAAATCTCTCCGTTTTTCATCAGTACCGCAGTTTGTTTCGAATATAAGAAACTATCAATATCTATTTCCAGTAATCGTTGACAGTAATGA